GAACGTAACCTCGGAATAGCGCTTAGCACCCTAGCCCGCAAATCGTGAAGTCCAGGTTCGAGTCTTGGCTGGGGTGGAACCTTCTGCCTGTAACACAGCATTCCTGTCAGGGCACATAATCGTTGAGCATTCTCCAACAACGGAGGGGGAGGGGTCGTATTTGGTCGCCGAGAGGGGGGGGGGACGTATTTGCTTTCTGGGATATTGCGGCATTTGGTAAAATTTTTTTACGGTTGTTGACTTTTGGTGCTTTTCCCGCTTCGTATATACTGCGCACCCCCTCCCGCTCGAGAGCTCGGTCAGAGTAGGGAACTAGGGGGAGGAGGCTAGCGGGTCGTATCAGAGGGCCACCTCCTGGAGGGGGAGGGGTCGCACGGACGCGACCGAAATACCCAACTAATGATGTGCCCTGATACTTGTAATCGCCAACTGCGGCGATGATCAACAATTATCATAACAAAACAGGGCCAGAACAGTTTAGAACCAGGGACAAGTGATTCGTGTATTCCATTGAAGATACCTGCTGTCCAAGACCAGGCTTTTCACCGTTCAAATACTTCACAGCGGCCACATTCTGTAGAGGCTGAATACCAGCAGCGATCTGGAACAACATTGACTAATTAACAAAAACTTGTACAGCAAAAAAGGTACTGAAGCCTTGCGTTTTTCCTTATGACCCGAGGCGCATCTGTTCATGATAAATAGAAAGCCAGCGTGCGCGTCATGCCTGATTGGCCTTCGTGGGCTACCTACTGATGGCGAATATCTTTGCCACTTTCAACCTTGTCCGTGACAAACTATCAGTGAGCATGATGGCCGAAGCTCTGATATTAGTTAAAAACTCATGGTACGATCACACGGTGTGCGTGACTATCAGCCCCCCAGCTGTCGAAGCGTAGCGGTTTCACCGTCCTAACATGTGTAGGAATGGAGATACAGGACCGTATCTCCATTCCTGCACATGTTAGGACGGTGAAACCGCTACGCTGTACAGGACGTGAAACACGCCAATTCCTCCATGCTCCGCCCAATGCCTTTTGCGGCGCAAACTCCGAATAGAAGGTGATGAAGATGACAAAGGCTAGAAATGAAGAACAACGAATGTAGATGTAAATAAAACAAAATGAAAAAATTAAGGAAATGCAAATTAATTGAAATCGCGTGTAAATTTCTGCAATTCGGCGCGATTCCGGCTCCAAAACCCATAAAAATACTTCA